AGATTCGATCTGGTCAAAGATGTTAGCTGTTGCATTGGAGGAGGTTCGAGAACATTTTACTCAGAACTGGCAAATGCCAGCTGACCTTGTTATCTATACTTTTGCATATAGCATCCTCCTGTTTCCCACAAATTCTTGGTATGAGCATCGACAAATATGGGACTACGGAATACTTACCAGGTCTATGTTTAAATTAGCTCGAAAGTTATATCATGTCTGAAATTCCAATTAAGCTGAGATAGTCAGTCGGAGTAAGGAGTCTGAAGATTTTTGATTTTGGTCAGCATGATTCTTCCAATGAAAAGATCTTTCATGAAAAGAAACGAATTTTTTCAACGTGTATTTATCGTAGCGGGTGGTGGATGCGAAATTTCGAACGATTAAGCAATGATGATCCAAAAATTTCACAATGCACTGTTATGGAACGTCCTTACTGGAAATAGCAAATGATAGCAAGACCTAAAGCTGAGACCGTCGACGTGATCATAGCGACTTATTTAGGGGAAAGTCTGTGAGGGTTAGGATGTTGATCTTTGTGTTGCTGACGTTTCTACTCGTGGCTTTCTATTTATTGAGAATGATCCCGGTTATGACGTCATCTGCAAGGCGTTGCTAATCATCAACAAGTGCGTACAATTTTATATGATAAGCGCAGCATGGTTTTTTCCGTTTGGTTGCTGTTATACGGAGTTCATTTGTATTTCAAAAGACGACAAACGAGTCATTCACTCGTCCGTTACTCAGAGCAGGGTCTTTCGATTTCTAGGTCATAGTCAACCCTCAGATGAACACGTAATGGTGACTTGAGAATCAGGGATAACTGAATTTCAGTGAGTGAGCCACACCTATTTTAAATAAACATGACCATCACTTTGCGACATAGATGCGGCTAGTTTCGCGTAAATACACCATATGAAAATGGTGCTCAGCGAAAAGACTTACTGTCAATCAGATAGTCAGACAGTGTCACAATCATCAACCTCGATCCGCTGTTAGATGAAGGCCTGTAGAGTATGGTTGCCAAAAGTTCGGTGTCCTGTTTATTGAAGAAGCTGAAGAACTCCATGATATTTGTTCAGTATTTAACATATCAAAAAAAACAGTAAATTTTCTTGAAGACGCTTTAGATTTCATTATGCTCTAATTTTTGCGCATTGTCATTTTAACAGCAATGGACAATATGTTATGCTGATATTTAACACGTGAGTTTTTTAGAAAACAATACCACATTCCTATTTCGACAGGAAAGTGATCTTGACGAATTCAGCCGAGTTTCTGAAACGCTTGAGAAAAGAAGGGCATACTGAAGTTTCTTTGGATCACATCATTGTCAAAGCTGCTGCTGTTGCTTTACGAGTAAGACTGTTTTAGATTTACTTTTATGAAATGTTTTTTTTTTGAAATTCGCTTGAATTTCAAATGAATTCGCTTGAAGTTCACGTTCTTCCTGAACATTTTACCTGTAGCATTATTCTGCCCATTGGCCTGAGCCATTTTCACAAAAGAAGCGTTGAATATGATATGCTTATAATTGAGATTGGAATTTGGATTTTGTTTCTTATTTCAAGGGAGCACTAAGGGAAATTTCGAGCCCCTCGAAACTTTTTCTTCCGCTGTTTCATAATTTGTTCTTAATTGCACTTGATTTGCTTATTTACGCTTTACACTAATAATATGGTTCTAATATCAGAATAATCGAAAACTCTCAGTTTTGGTTTATACACGCGTTACGAACATTTGTTTGGTAGGTTAGAAATGGGACCCAGATACTGATAACTGCCGAGAAGGTGAGAAATGAAAGGCCTAGAAAAACGTGACACGATGGTGTTAAAATTGATGTTTAACTCTTGACAGTAACCGAAGAACTGACACTCTATCAGAGATTCTAGAAAAAAACTGCTCAGCTTTCGTTGTTAATATGCTAAAGTAAGAAGATAAGTAGCATCCATGATCAAACTATTTGACTAACGTTGGAGGATTAGAACAGTAAAGATTAGAGGAATATCTACCTATGGACCCATGACGAGTACAAGTCTGATGAAGCATTGATCAGGCTCAACTGGTTTTACTGTAGAATGGCTCTGTTTGCTTTGCATGTTGGTAAATGATTAGATAGATTTGCCTGTTTCGCTCTGCAGAAGTGCTTTGTAAGCAGAATTATATGCGTGCAGATTCTCATCCGTTGCTCCCATTTCCTGACTGCTTGTCAAGAACTACATCTTGTCATTGATGTTCTGGGAATTTTATAAAATTGATCTTAAACTAGCCTCGCGACCGTCATTTTTTGTACAGAATCTTGTTTGCAATCCATTTGACATCTGCCAACACTTCACCCTGCCACATAATCAGAACACTTATAAATTAATTGTTCAGATGTCGTCAGAATTTCTTTTCTGCCATTTGGATTAGTGGATGGTACTGAGATTGCAGTTTTCACTGTTTATTAATTCTGTGTAGGAAGATGTTTCTGCTTTCAGCACGCCCATATGTACAGCGCACAAAATCATTGGGGAGGTTGGTTGTTTGACTCTTATCGCTTCCACTTGGTACCTCGTGGATTCGTGTTGTGATGTGAATATTCATGGCTTCACTGAGAAGATTTCAGCACAACGCTGCTATAGATGGTCGACATTAGTTAATCACTGCATTTCCTGACGCTCAAACACTGTCCCTGCTTGCCGTCTATCTGTCCAAACTGAAAGTTGTTTTTCGAGGCCTCCACAGCACTTGCTTCGATTATGAAAGAAGCTAAATATTGTAATCTTCAACCGTCCTTTAAAGGTGGGGATTAGTATGCTATCGTTATCAGAAGCTTGAACAGTCTAAACGCATGGATAGCATGCCTCCAAGAATGGCGATTTAAGAAAGACGAAATCGCAAAATCGTGCAATCCTGGTGTCCAGTCATTCTATGTATTATTCCGATCGAAGGCCGTGGAAAGTATATATGTTTGCTAAGTTACAGCGTGTTCAGGCTGTGAGGTAGTTTAAGAAGAGTGGGGGGGCCAATTATCCCAAAATTATGCTGGACAGCGATCCAGAAATCGTTTAGAAGAACATTTATTATGATTGTATACGCATGGTCGAATAACACAGATGAAGAGGGAAATATCGCTTTCTACGATAGGCTTGAATATTAACTTGTCTTTCCTTCGAATGGCTTTATATTCCTCGGAATGGATGCCACCGGACAATTTGGCAAGGATGAAATGAGTGTCGCATTGAGGTTTATCCCGGCGAATAACGACCACATAAGATGAATCTGTGCTCCTCTGCCTCACTGCAAGGTTCATCTTGGCAGTTAGAATGACCCTCAAGTGAAATCGATGCTCGCAAACACCAAGATGACGAAACCCACAACGTTTGTCTATTGAGCAGCGGAAAGAGCATCGGAAAGAGCATCGGTGGAAGAATTTACAACTACGTTGAATTACATATTCATAAATGACCGTTGGAAACACGTCGTAAGACGGTCTAAATGCACCTGAAGATGCGCCTGTCGGCCCGACCATGTCCCGATGGTCTTAACGATGGTACAGTATGTTACTGGCAAAGGGTTGGAGTCGATGTCAAGGCTTGATATGGCATCGTTACGGAAAAGTCCAGAAGTCGGAGAAAATTGTTAATGAAAAGAAATTTGTATATGACATACAGTGACTTCAGGAACTGCCTACTGACTGCCGCTAGCGAAAGTATTCCATATTCCACAGCTGAACGTACCTGTCACTCTCTGGGAGGAAGGAGTGAGAAGCTGATGAAGGAACGGAAAAGAGCGACTCTTGCAAGAAATAAGATATTGGCGAAAGAGAAGGAAACCAAAATACGATCTGACTGTAGAGGTAGTAACGCACTGAGGCTAAAACGAGCTGCTTTTATGGAGAAAGCATTCAATTACAATAACCTTAGACGATCGTTTGCTTTGATCCGGCAGTAAATGCAAGAATTAATTCGATCTCGTCTTTCGTTCGACGCATGCATCACCTAGTCTCACAAAAATTAAATATGCCCAACGATTTCCGGAACATTTTTAGCAGCTTATCATCCACTCGGTGTACGCTCTTCTTTCAGCAAAGTAGAACGTCTGATTATGGCTGCCGTGTTCATGTACCAACCAGCGACGAGATTTTGCTTTCGAAAAAGGCCAAATTGGTAACGCTGCTGCACTACATGATGATCACATGGAGCTGTTGAAACAAACGCCCGATGTAGGATTGCAGCTGCTGTCGAATATCATTCATGAAATTTGGCGAACAGAGACAATATTAGAACTGTGGCGCACAGCAATGATTATTCAGAAACAAAAAAGGTGCTCTATCGGTTGTCCGAAATTAGAGGAATCAATTTCCTCTAATGAACGCTCAACGTCGCATGAAGAATTATCATCAGCAGAATTCGACCCAACTCCGATGTTGCCGGTTCCAAGCTCGGATGAGAAAGGAGTAGGGTTGGAGACCGTGAGAAGTCTCCGTAAAATTCAGCCACCTGCCACTCATGGTATTGACGCCATCGAAAACTATACAGGCTCGGTCGTCGCTCCGGTTACCAAGGGCGGCGAAGGCTATTGGGGGATTCAGGCAGACTACGAAAAGTCGGCAATCAGAACCTGCTCATTGTCCTCTGCCAGCCGGGTACGTAGCAGCACAACAACGGCTGACGAAGACCGACTGAACGACGGCGAAGATACCAGTCAGCAACGGAGTCGCTACCCGTAATGAACGGAGGAGGCAAACAGTGCGATGCCACTACAGTACGTCAGAATAGGCTCCACGAAAACGACACCACGTGAGAGCTTAAAGTCGGAAATTGGAACATATCCTCACTCAGAGGAAAAGAACATGAATTAGTTGATGAGGCCA